CCTTCATGCAGCTTCAGGTCAGATTAGAAGGCTGACAACTTTACAACCATACCCTAGACATCAAATGAAATTCAGCATGTTTTCAGGAGTCCTTACTGAAACCGAGTCAGAAGTGTAATGACTTATTTACATTTCCCTGAGCATGGACTGAAGTCCTGAATACGCCCTGAACACGGGTATGCCATCTCCTATCTAAACAGGATTTCCTGGCAGGCAGATATTTGCAAATTTTTTGTTCCCATGTATGATCCTGCCCTCACCTGGATTTTGGACTTGTACCTCCAGAGAGAGAGTGAATTCCGTTAAGCCGCCCAGTTAACAGTACTTTGTTATAGCACCCCTAAGACACTCCTCCCTCAGTTTCTCTCCCACAGTCCCAGGAAAGGCTGAAGTGTGAAGTTACAACATCAAAACAGCTGTTTAAAACATTTGGGTTCAGCAGCTTGGCAGGCTTAAAAAGGAGGATCATGAGTTCAAAGCCAGCCTCAGCAAAAGTGAGGCGCTAAGCAACTCAGTGAGAGCCTGTCTCTAAATAAAATACAAATAGGGCTGGGGATGTGGCTCAGTGATTGAGTGCCCTGATTTCAATTCCTGATGGGGGAAAAAAATGAGTTCTTCTCCAGGTTCTTTTTTTTTTTTTTGGTTGTATGAATGAGGCAAATTATTTTGCCTCTTATTAGATTTCCTGTAAAATTAGGGGGCCTGAACAGACCATATCCAGTGTCCTACCCCTCTAAACGCCCACTGACTCTGACTAGTCCAAATACAACCAAGTATGCCTGCACACCTATCCCAATCTCCCTACACTCCATTCCACACAGAGGGTTTCTGTTAAGTCTCCCTGTACATTGGAACATGCTACCTTAAGGACACGGAGGACAAGATGCTAAGACAAGAAACACAGAAAGGAATTCTATCACATTACTAAGAGGCAGGAAAAAATGCCCTAAATACTGCACTGATTTTCTGTACTGCTGTATTCATTTCCCATCACTGCTATGCAACTCAACATAAACTTCTAAGTGCCTTGGAACAATACCATTGATGACCTCACAATTTCCAAGCAACAGAAGTCTGGGCACAACATGGGCCAACTGGTTCTCTACTTACTGGATCACAGGGCCAAAATCCAGGTGCTGGTAGGGCCATGGTCCAGGTTTAGACTATTGACTTAACTCAGTCCCACATGGCTGCAGCACTGAGGTTCCAGACCCCAGATGGGCTGTGGCAGGGTCGCTCTCAACTTCTCCCCCTGACCCCCATCAGCCCATGGGGCCCTTTCCTTCCATTCACAGCCGCTCAGCAGACACAGTCCTTCTCTATTCCTCCTCTGACCTTCTCACTTTTGAGCCCATGAAAACAAGCCAGGATAATCTTCCTCTTTGGGTGCTCATTAGTAACCTCAACTACATTCTCCCAAGTCCCACTTCAGTAGCCCTAGACAGTGCTTAAAATAACCAGGGCACTGAGGTTCAAAGGAGACACATCTTTAGAGTGCTGCCTTCCAAATGTAATCCAAAATTTCATTTATTAACACACCAAAATAATAATAACACACTTCTGTGACAGAGTTTTAGGAATCAAGTTTTCTTACTGCAATTTAATTGGTATGACTGAAATAATAGATGAGGCTTTTATTAAGGGCAGTAAAGGGGGAAAATAAATCTTTCTTAATGCACATATCCTTAGGAAATACAAGTTCAACAATGCAAAGACTGGACAGATGCAGCAGCAGCTTCTTGATTCCCAATAAAGGGGCTTAATGGTTTCCTTCTCTATAAAAATGAGAAAATAATATCTGCTCACAGACCAGACACAGAGTTAAAAAATGTAAGAGACAGAAACAAAACCCAGATGCCAAGAAATGCTGTTCACACGTGACCACTTTCCTGACAGCCCCCACAGTCAACCCTACTCAGAGTGAACTTTCTGTCCCTACTGCCCTCTAAAAGTCTCTCTTAAATGGGCAAACACAAGATCCTCCTTTAGAGGACCCTGTATGTTAATGAGCCTGTGTTTGCAACACGTAAGCTGCTCAGGTAAAGTGAACTCCAGGCGCAGGGTCACCAGGCTGCAATCAGATTCATTATATCAGTTTATTTTCCATGCTCTCCCAACCTGCCTCAAGGCAACAGCAGTAACAAGCTAACCTTTGGAGGGCCAGGTGTCAAGCTCCCAAAGCACTCGCGCTGCAGGACCAGCTTTAAGCTCTCGGGGCTGAGAGCTGCACGCAGCGCAGGCGGACCACCCGATCCCGCGCCCAGGGTCCGCGGGAGCCCCAACCAGGCCGGCTCCGGTCTGCACCGGCCAATCCGGCGGCCGCACGCTCCACCTAGAGGCACCCCGAAACTCCGGCGCAACTCGGGCGGGCCGCCAGGAGCTGGGGCACGAGGGCAGTCCATCCGCCGCGGGGGCCCCGGTCCCCGGTCCTCCGCGGCTCCCCGGCCCCGTGCTCCCTCCCGCCCTCCGTGGCTTCCCGGGTCCCTAGGCCCGACCCAGGATCCCGGTCCTCCGCGGCTCCCCCGGCCCCGTCCTCCCTCCCGCCCTCCGCGGGGCGAACGCCCCGGCAGCCGCGAAGCTTCGACGGCGATATCCACCCGGAGGCCCGGCACCGGTGCGGCGGGGACCCCAACTTACGCTTGTACTCGGCCATCAGCCTCTTGAGCGCCGTACCCGCCATGTCCCCAGCAGCTGAGCTGGCCGCCTCACCTCGCCCGCGCCCCGACGCCGGGGTCGCTTCCGGGTCACCACCTCGCCAGGAGCGCTTCCGGGGCGCGGAGCGGCGTACGCAGCGTCTACGGCGGCGAGCAGGGGCGCGCACCGGGTGTCCCGCCCACTCGCACGCCGCGCCTGCGCAGAGCACGCCCCCGCCTCACAGCGCGCCGCGATGCTGCAGCCTCTGCCCGGTGCTGGGGTTTACCCCACTGTCTTCCTGCCGCTGCGAGCGCGGCGTCCCGCAGTCGCGGCTTCGTTAGCGGCCACCCTCGAGGGGCCGGACCCCCGAGCCGCAGCGGGAAGGCCGGACGGAAGGCGCCCGCTCGGCGGGCCGTAAGGGAGCAGGCGCGCCCCGTGGCGTCGTGTGCTGCCCCAGCGAGGGTCCTGCGCAGCCGGCGTGTACCAGAGTGGCTTTCCTGAGCAGCAAGTGGGAGCGAGCGCCTGGCTCCTGGGCCCCAGCCCGCGGTCTGCAGCGGAGAAGGCCCTGGCTGCTGGGCGCGGGGTGGGGGCTCCTGGGACCAGGCCCTTCGGCCAGCACGGAGTTGCTCGGGGGCCTAAGATGGAATAGTTAATGGGCCCCAATTGAAGTTTTTTTTTAAAAATGTAGAAACTACTCATTGATAGTAATCGATAGAAACATTCCGGCCAAGCTTTTTCCCTGAACCTCAGAAAAACCGAAGTGGAGGCAGACCCAAATGGAAGTTACAAGAATGTTCTGGCTCCAGGGCTAACCAAGTACTTTTCCGGGGGCTGATTGTCAGCGTACATTTTGACCGATAGCATTGGTAGTTTCCCAAGACCCCATTAGCAAACACTGAGCAGTGCCCCACTAATACCTTTAGACCGCAACCTCTGCTGGGTCTCCTCTGGCCCCTGCAGGAGCTGTGTATAGTCGCTTGGATAAATCCTATTCCTTTCATTCTTGCCTTTGGTTATTGTCCGTGAATGTCATTTATGAGACAAGAATCCCCAAAGAAATTGGCGACGAGCTGCTGTAGGGCACAGCCCGACATTAAGAGCTGCACCACACCACTGGAGAGTGGAGAAGAATCCAGCCACCCAGGCAGCTGTCCAGGGTCCCCTGCAGTGATTAGGTGCTAACACTATAATGGGCTTTCTTGGCTGCTAAGGCCCCTGGCTTACCCAGACACCACCACTACCCAAGGCGGAAGTGAAAGTGGAGCGTCAAGCTTCATCTCAAACTCTGGTTGCAGTAGGCCCTATCCCCTAAGGCTTCCATCGAACCCCAAGCTTCTTAATGCCAAAAGATATTACTCCAAATTCACAATTTACATGAATTCCTAAAAATGAAGGACAACCTCAAGATTGTTGAGGTGAAAAAAGCTCAAGTGACTGTTCTACATACAAGGGACCTCTTGGCCTCCTTTATCAAACCAAAGGTACCCCAGACCACCTCCCGCCATGTGCCATGAAGGTGATTTGGCAAATGGTCCCATCTCTGCACTGTGCTTCAATCCGTGTGCTTCTGCTGATCGCTGGACCTGCAGCTCCACTGTCCCGGCTGCCTTCCATCTTTGTCCTAGTGCTCACACAGGCAATGGACCAAATCAGCTCAGCCACTCAACTCTGGTCTTGTCTCACCATCATATACTGAGACTTTTTAAATTTAATATTTATTTTTTAGTTGTAGTTGGACACAATATCTTTATTTCATTTACTTATTTTTATGTGGTGCTGAGGATCGAACTCAGGGCCTTGTACCTGCTAGGCAAATACTCTACCGCTGAGCCACAATCCCAGCCCCTATACTGAGACTTTTCAAAGCAAATTGGTAGTAGTTCATTTTCAAAATGGGTAAGTGGTATTGGGGTTGTGGCTCAGTGGTACAGCACTTGCCCAGCAAGTGTGAGGCACTGGTTCAACTCTCAGCACCACATATAAAAAATAAAGTCCATTGAGAACTAAGAAAACATTTATATTAAGAAAAGGGGGGGATAAGTTATCATCAACCGCACATCTTAAGCAAAGACTGAAACATCCCAAGCTAACATCCAGACTCACCTGCCTCCAAAATCCTCCTCCTCTTTACATAGGAGTCCAGAAAAGGAAGGTGAGGCTGGAGAAAAGGTGGGCTATGTGAGGGCAGAGGATGAACTCTGGGTAAAAGGAAGGTGGACCACATGGATGATGTGCCAGTGGGGGGAGCAGGTGTCGGGGCATTCCACTGCCCAGCAGCTAGCTTCCAAAGCAGGTGCCCCAGAGGCCTTGCTGAGTTATGACATGTGCCCCAACCTTCAAATGCAGTGTTGAATAAAAGCCAAAAGACAGAATACCAAACTATCTTTACTGTTTACAGTAGTAAAGGGTAACATAATGTACAAATTGGTGAACAAACAACAGAGCCAACAACATCCCACCAGAGCCCATACAGCAAAACAGGAAATGAGGACATTTCTGCAAGATCTCAAGCAAGCGAGGTGATGGGTCACCATCAGGGGACTATAAAAGGCAGAGAATGGCCATCAAGCAGCAATGGATCCTTACAGGACAATAGGCAGAACTATGAACATTTTAATTGGTAAAGATTCCCAAATATCTCACAGAACTGGAGTCACTGTTCTAATGCATAATTTCGATACTTATTTGGACAGTGGCAAAGTAAAAATCCATAAGAACACTAAGTCACCTTTCTGTGGGTTTCTTTTGCAACCACACTTTGAAGCAGCTCTTTTATACAACATAACTGCAAATTCAGTGATATTTCATCTTACTTTACATAAAGACCATAATTATCTGTTAGAAGTAAATCTGAGGCCACAATACAATTACCAAATGAGAAACATGGTAATTATTTCCTGGTTTTGAAAAAAGAAAAGCTGGTTTTGGTTGTGCCCATCATTGCCCACATACCCACACCCAAGCACCGAGTGCAGAGGTGGCATCCTGGGCCTCAGACCCAGAGGGGATACACTCAGGAGCAGAAAGCACTTGGGCCTTATTACTGAAGGACTTATTTTGTTTTTTACCTTTGAAGAAGTGTTCCAGTATTTTGCCTTCAACTATACCATATGCTTGATGAAGTCTGTCATTTGCAGCTTTTAGAATTTTAATAATGCGCCTGGTGGAATTCCACCCCCCACTCTCTCCCACAGATGCACAGTGTGAACATGAGCTCTCCACGTGATTCGGACAAGTAGCTCCAGCAGTGACCACTTCTCCAGGGGTGAGAGCCTGGCCACAGACTGAAAGCCAACATTTGGCCACAAGTTTGAAGGAAAACATGTTTTGAGAGGGGCAATGAACAAAACCGAGAACAAAAACAAACCCAAAACCTTAAAACTCATTTCACAAAGAGAACAATGTGATTGGCCCAATGTAAGCTGAAGACTCATCCCTGCAGAGTTTTGAGCTGCACTTGAGGTGCTTCGAGGATCGTTTCGGTGACTGTCCTTGTCTTTCTCGGACTCCTCTGTGATCAGCGTGGTCGCTCACCATTCAATAACAAATGCAAGGACGATGGCAGGGTGTGGGGTGGTCCCTCTGGAGGCCATGCCTCCCGTCTGCTGCTGGAACACGTCGATGGTGTCCTCATCTTCCATCTCCAGCTGTCACAGTCCCAGGCAGCCCAGCGAGAAGGGACAGGGAACATCAGAGGAAGGGAAGATGTCCGACTGCCCCCCCACAGCCTAGTCACCCCCTGCTGTGCTGTGCCACCCCTCCTGTGCAGCACGCAGGGAAATCACAGTGACTACTCCCCACCTCTGTGCTCCCACAAAGCTCAGAAGAATAGTCACAAGTAAGAATTCTGATAGAAAAACTGATTAAAAAACACACTGAGCGCTGGGAATACCGCACAGTTGATGAAGGGCTGGCCTCCATGCACCAGGCCCTGGGTTCAATCCCAGCACCACCAAAACCATAAATGAATAATAAAATAAACTGGGGCTGGGCTGGGGCTCAGTGATAGAGCACTTGCCTAGCATGTGGAAGCACTGGGTTCGATCCTCAGCACCACATTTAAAAAAATAAAATAAAGGCACTGTATCCATCTACAACTAAAAGGAATTTAAAATAATAATAAATATCTAAAATTCCTGGGACAACTACACAAAATCAAATTCCAGTGAAGAGCTTCCAGTTAGCCATGCAAGTGCGATGGTCATGCCTACCCAAAGGCAACTGCATCTCCAAGGAAGGGTCCACAAAGTAAAAGCCCTCTGCGGACAGGGATCCTGTCACTCAGAGACCAAGGCAGAGGTGGACAGGCTTCCTGCTCTTCCGACACAGGAGGGATGGAGACCCTCTGACCTCTCCCCCTTCTCTAAGCACGGGAGCTTCTGCAATTCCCAAGACTGACGCCAGGACAGGAGTGGGAGTCCCAGGAGGCGTCCCAGAAGTCCCTTCTAGGCCCGCTACAGACACACCTGGGGAGGCTGGAGCCAGGAAGCGTCACTGCTCCTCCATGCCACCTGCTCCTGGCTCCCCACTCCAGCCCAATGCCCACCAGCCCTTTCTGCTCTCTGCCTCCCTGGGGAGTCCTTGCAGAGCCCACCCCTTTGGCTTAGTCATGTATGATTTCCAAAAGTGGCTAGAATATTTTTGCAATAATATTTGCAATAATATTTTGCAATAATATTCCCAAAGGTGGCTAAATATTTATTGCAATTATATTTTCAATATTTATGCTATTAAATGTCTTGCAAAAATATTTTCACGTGAAACATTCCAATTTATTCTCACCACCTCTAAGGAAGAAAAAACAAGTACCATCTCCATTTCACAGGGAGACAAAACTGAGACTCCAAAGCAAGTGACTGAGACCACCAGGGTCAGGTGTTGGTGAAAGAGCTGGAGAACATCTGGCTCCAGGGACGAGCTCTCTGCATCACAGCACCAGGCCCTTTGCCGTGAGGCATGCGGGTGCTCACCTGCACTTCCAATGGCACAGGAAATGACGGGCACCCTGCCCGCCCACAGCACTCACACAAGATGCCACAGGAGACAGGAATCAGGCCCATGTCTAGCCACTGACTGACTGCAGCCACAAGCTAGGAGTCCGCAGAGCCACGGCAGGAGTCCTGGCAGTCCCACCAACGGCCCTGGAAATCAACATGACTAAGCCAATGGCAGTCCCACCAATGGCCCTACAGCACAAGCCCCACGCTCAGATCCCACCTCAAAGACAGGGTGAGGTCTGACAGTGCCATGTTCTCATTTGAAAAACATCCCAAAATGCCAAAACTTAAAATCTAATAATTCAAATGATCAAGAAAACATAAGGCATTCTCTATATGCAGCCCTCGGTAATTCTCAATAAGCATTCCAAATGGCCACTGTGCAGACGCGGACGGGGAGGAGGTCCTGGACACACAGAGCTGGCTTCATACCTGGGCTGGAGTGTCTGTTTCATTAATTGGCTGCCCATCAAACCTGAATCTAATCTGTCTCATTGACAAGCCCTGGAAAGAAAAAGCAATCACCATTAAATATCCCAGATAACACAGCTTAATTCAAGAAACAAGAATGTCTGTCAAACCATCAGAATTCTGAATATGCACTGAATTACGACCCAGCTGAGTATGAATACAGTGGCCCTTATCGATGCCAGCGACCACCCTGGAAACGGCTCTCTGACATCCTCCTCCTCCCTGACCCACCCTCTCCATTCCACCCAGAAGCCAAGCAGAGCTTCTGTGCAGCCAGCACCACTGCTGCCCCCTTTACAAAGTCCCCATGGACACACAGGTCAGGTGGCCATGAAGGAAGTGGCAAGAAGGCCACATGGAGGGCAGCAGGAAGGAGGGCAATGACCCATCCACGTCCTGAGGGAGCAGGTGAAGGTGGCTAAGGACAGAAACACTCATGGGCCAAGCAGCTCTGCTTCTCTGCAACAGGACAAACAGGGCTACAGTGCGACTTGGCTGCCTCCGGAAGCTGCAAGGAAGAACATGGAGAAATGAAAAGGCACAAATCCTAAGGACAAATGGAGAAGGGAGGAGCCAGCAGATAGGCTGTGCTGCGGGGCTGTTCACTGCTGGTCCAAGGTCATGGACCTCAGGTCTCAGGGTGCAGAAACCAATGAGTTGCAGGAGGGGTCAGCCAGTGAACCGGGGACAGAATCAGCATGCAGCCGATTCTGATGGCTGCTCAGCAGATCTCCATGTCATGGCACCAAGTGTCCCTCCCAAGGCAACCAACAAAATGTCCATTTCCTGGAGACGCGGACTTGGGAGCAGGCACCGTACTCCAATGGGCCTGAGCCCCTCAGTCCTCCACCTGTGTTCCAGGATGCAAGACAGAGCCATCCACTCCTGGGACGCTTAGTGACCCTCAGATGGCAGCATCTGGGTGCCCCAGTCAGCAGTCCCAGTAGGCCAGCACCTGTGGACATGAGGGCCCCTCAACACACCCCCAAGCACAGCACTCGCCATCAGCATTTCGGTGTTTCCTCCTTCACCATGAACAGGGAACTAGGGGCAGAGGACATTTCAGGAAAGACAGAAGGTGAGCTCACACAGAAGGGGAAAGGCACCGAGGAGTGGGGACACGCACCAGAAGGGCCACATGCGTGCACTCAGAGCCCTCCGCAAGGTGACAGCCACTGGCTGCTGCTGAGCAACAGGCACAAACAAAGAACAGATGGAACAAAGAACTGTTGGAAATTATAATCCTGACAGAAATAAGAATGGCCGTGTAAAAAGACAGAGTCGGGGGAAATGCCCAGAAAGGGACCCACAGCAACAGCTACACCCAGAGCAGGACAGAGGAAAACCAGCCAAAGGACACCGTGCAGGACAGTGACTGCAGCAGGGTCAAGAATCCAGGAGGGACTGCGACCAGGAAGGACAGAGTGCACCCCCTAGTCGAAGCGGACTTCAAACGGAAAGGGAGACTAGGAGGAAGGTGAAACTAAGGCCCAGGAAGCAGCTCAGGATACCGAAGACAGAGCTTCACAGAGAAGACACACACAGGACTGTATCAGGACGTCATCAGTGTCATGAAAACTGCGCTGCAGGCTGAAAGGAAGGGATGCAGTGGCTGCTGAGGAGAGGGAACTCGCAAGGCCCTCAGCAAAACGAAGGAGAGGCAGGGGAGGCAGGGGAAAGTACTGGAAGATGCAACGGCTCCATCCACCAACACCCAGACCCTACAGACCAGCAAAGCAAAGACAGCAGAGGGCAGCCCAGCACTGTGGATGTGTCCTGCCGCGACAATGCACACGGGTGCCAACTCAGGGCCACGGGACAGTGTGCAGAGGGCAACCTCGGGGGCTCCTTTCCCACCCTTCACAGCTGAGAATCACACAAGGTCACAGCCTAGGAAGGAGGTGGTGAGCGTGCAGCTGACCGCACTCCCGGGGCCAACAGCGGCTGCCCCAGGAGCAGGGTGTGAGAGTGGGGGCCAGAGGCCCAGGTCTACATTCCAGAGATTTTTGTTTAAAACATCTTGGAAGCAGGGACTGCCAAAGCCAGTGTGGAAAGCAAGGTGACAGTGTGCTGAAGAAAGGCAGTTTCTCCAGCCGCGCCACATCCAGGGGCCCACTCAGGACAGGCCCCTGCCGAGGGCCACCCAACCACAGGGCTGGGGCAGAACCCAGGAACAGCAAGCCTGGCCCACCACAGGCACACAGCAAAGAGCAGCAAGCCCAGGATCCCAAGACTGTAGGGGTTGCTGGACAGCACCTGCCTGCCCCAGGGACACCATGTGGGCCCTGGTGAGAGCAAGAGACAGGTGGCCCGAAGCAGAAGCTGTGGCCTCAAGTTCACATGACACTAGCAGCAGCATCCAGAAGTGGCCGACCCCTCATGACACTGAGGAGGCTGACTACTTTGAAACCTGGTCAACAAAGGGGGCAGCTCAAGACAGAGCACCTGCCTGTCGCACCTGAGGCCCCCAAAATCCCACGATCCCAGCACCACACACACCCACATCTAAACACTGGAAACCAAACTGTGATAAGGGCAGTCTGTCTGCAGGAGAACCTCAGCCACCCAGGGGAGGCTGTCAGCCCAGAAGGCACCACAGAGCCTGTGCCTGCCCATAATGCACACTACCCAAGAAGGCGTGGGCAGAAAGAGTCCCAACTGCAGGAACATGGGAGATACCCCTGCCCCAGCCAGAGGCAGCCTCAGAACCCTGGTGCATCTGTGGAGGGAGGGCCCCTGCGTCCCCAGGCCACCTAGGAACTGGGGCAGCAGCCTGTGGCCAGCCCGCACCTGCCTCTCGCAGTAGGCCTTCATCAGCTTGCTCAGTGGGGTGTGCCTCTTGATCTTGAACTGCACCACCGAGCCATCCTGCCCCGCCACCTTCAGGTTGATGTGGTCATTCTCCGTCTTCACACCCTCCTGCAAGAGACAGGACACAGCTTCAAAAGTTGGCTCAAGATAATTGTGAATTAGGAGGATCCCAATTTCAGTGCCAGCCTCAGCAAAAGCCAGGCACTAAGCAACTCAATGAGACCCTGTCTCTAAATAAATAAAATACAAAATAGGACTGGGGATGTAGCTTAGCGGTCAAGTGCTCCTGAGTTCAATCCCCAGTACCTCTCCAAAAAAAGAATATTCTGCCAATTACCAATGTGATATTAAATATTGAATGATAAATGAAAAGATCTGAACTTAATGACATTCTCCATTCCCCTTGTTCAGTCTGCCTCAAAATATTTTTAAATAATTTAGCCCATTTCTAATTCTTACAATACATACAAAATAAAAATAGTACAATAACAGGTGCACAGTACAAAAATGAATTAGGTATGTTTTTTCATGTAAGTTAAATGTTGTTCTCTCATCACATTAAAATAATGTGCATAGGGGCTGGGGTTGTGGCTCAGCAGTAGAGGGCTCACCTAGCAAGTGCAAGGCGCTGGGTTCCATCCTCAACACCACATAGAAGTAAGTAAATAAATAAAGGTATAAAAAAAAGATAACTGTGATTTTAAAAGGCAAGTCTTTAGGTAAGGGTTGGTTTTATTAAAAAGTCATTAAAACCAACCTAATTCTTAAAATTCTCCTGCAATTCAGAGTCACTCATGTGACTTTTATTTTCACACAGAATTTAATTCTAACTTCCTCTCACTAAGCACCCACGCATAAGGAAATGTAGGGCAGAACTAGAGTCCCACAGAAAAAGCTGATTGAGTCAAAGAAAAAAAAGTCATTTAATAACAATCTTGGAAAAAATTAAGAGAAAATCCTTCTTTGTCTTAAAATCGCTCTTATGAAGGTAATAAGAACACATGTCCCCAGGTTACGTGACTGGTAAGACAAAATCAATATCCACAACCTTGAGGGACCCTGGCACCCTGAGGGGCTTGGTGGGGACCAGATTCCATTGGGGGCTCCCAGCTGCGATGCCATCACTAGGACCAGAGGAGCCACCTCTGTGAAGTCTCCACTCGCGAGCAGTCCTGTCCTGGGGCTGGGGAGCTCAGAGGTGGAGCAGGTGCCTGGCATGCCCAAGGCCCTGGGCTGCATCCCCACCCAGCAGACCCATCAGCCCATCTGATGGCAGTCATCCTGGTGCTTTATTGTTATATAATTCAAGAGACACACCAGCTACTGAACAATAGCATAATGAGGGTTCTTTGTGGCCTAGAAGCACATTTTGAATCAATTCCAAAGTTTACATTAAGGGGCAGTAAGCCACCTATAGGCCACTTTGTACGAAAAGGAAGTGAGGTTCCGGAGCTATTTTCTGTTTTCCAAAGTACGTCTGGCCCACCAGATTGGCTACCTGGGAGTCCACAGGAATGACCTACTTCTTAACAACCCAGTGAGGCCCTCTGACCCAGCGGAAGGCCAAGTCCAGGGCAGTCTGCAGAGTCTGTCTGTCTTCACACACAGGCCTGGCTTTCACCGTGTGCTAGAGCCCAGACTCCAGGGAAGCACCCTGTCCCTCTGATGCCTGCCGCTCCCTTCGTTTCCTAGTGGGGAGACTCAGGCGCCCTCACTCTCTCCCTGAACACCGGGCACACCTGGCCAGAAAAGGGGAGCAAGGTGCGGAAGGCTTGCACATTCGTGAGCCATGGAGCTCCCTGTGCACAGCCCTGGAGATCTGGCAGGAGCAGAGCCTGTCCAGGGAGCTATGGTGGCCTGAAAAGTGGCACCTGGGGTGAGGGCTCCAGCAAGGAGCTGGTAGATGCCTGTCCCTGCAGCACTTACCCACCCCTCTGGCGAGGGCCAGTGGCCAAGTACCTTCCTCCTCTTGGGGAATGCCAGGGCTTGCCCTGCAAGCCACAGCCCTCTCCAGAGCACAGCTCCAGGCCTGGGCAAGGTGGCAATGCCGATCAAGGGACGTGAATGACCCAAGGCCCCTGCTCCGCCACAGGACCCCTTGAGCTTCCCCCTTCACTGCCCAGAGAGTAAGGATGCTCGGGCTTCTTCATCTAAACAGATGCAGGACTAGAACCCTGAAGCCAGCAGAAGCACAGCAGGTGCCAGCACAGGCCAGGGGGCAGGCCTGAGACACTCTGGCCCCCTAACAGGGACACCAAGAGGGAACTGTCCCAGCCCTCAGTGAATCCAATAAGCAAGTGAACTTAGGAGTTAAGAAAGAAAGCTGAGGCCAACCTGGGCGACTTAGCACCTATCTCAAAATAAAAACTAAAAAGGGCCGGGGATGGAGCTCAGTGGTAAAGCACCCCTGGGTTCAATCCCCAGTACCTCAAAAAAGAAGAAAATGAAAAGACCACATAAATCTTATTATTTTTACCTTCATTAAGGGAAGGTGACGTAGAAAAGAGCTGGGCTGAGGCAGGAGGATCCCGAGTTCAAAGCCAGCCTCAGCAGAGGCGAGGCTCTAAGCAACTCAGTGAGACCCTGTCTCTAAATAAAATACAAAACAGGGCTGGGGATGTGGCTCAGTGGTCAAGTGCCCCTGAGTTCAATCCCTGGTTCCTCCTCCCCGCAAAAAAGAGCTGGGAGAAGCAAGTAGGAAAGTTGGCCCACCAAGGTCACATTCCCATGTAACAAGGCAGAAACCCAGAACCCATGCAAGCTCAAGAAACTGATAGTGAAGCATCTGTGACCCAGTGACCATATTCTCTCCAAAAAAAGACAAACTGCAACACAGTAACCTAATTGGACAGAGGCACACATGAACACCAGATTCCTGGTACCTGGACTCAAAGACCCACTGTTTTTTAACCTCCAGCCAACAGCTTTCAAGGCCAACCTCTTCCCCTCTGATCTTACCATATAAAACCCCAGACAACAGACACCCATTGGCAACCCTCTCCTGGGACCCACCCTTTCCGGAGCTCTGCTTTCTATTACTCCAATAAATCCTGTTACTTTGCTCTTGCCCTTTGTGTCCCTGGATTTCATTCAAATTCATAAGACAAAGAACCCACCCAACCCCAGGCTCGGCTACAAAGTCACCTACAAAGCACAAGGGCATCTGTGCCTGGCCTCGGATCAACAGGTGCTCACCCAAACGGTCTGGGTGGACAGTGGTGTAATAAGGACCAGGGCTGCAGTTGGACCTTTCTCAAAACTATCACTCATGGGGCCAGCCTAGGCTTTAGGGTGGGTTCCCCATCTAGGCAGGTGATGGAGAGGCAAAAAGCATTAGGCTCAACACTTTGTTATCTACTGATTAAAACAGACCCCAACAGGTCAGAACACAGGACCAAAACTTTCCGTTTAATTAGGAGTCAGCAACCTTGGCCTTCCAAGGGACTACAGTGGGGCCTGAGTACCGCGATAGCCAGCAATGCACCACAGGACTGCGATCAAGGTGAGCACATGCAACCAGGACAGCGATGGGGGGTGGGCACCCACCTCAGTACTCAGATGGAGGGCGTGCACCCCAGGACTCTCATAGGTGTCTGCCCTCCAGGATTGCTATGGGGGTGTCCCAGCACCAAGGAGCTAAGGGACTGCTCAGAAGGGACGACTTGATGCTTGCAGTCACGCGCTGCCTGGGAGGCTGGACTCGACCTACAGCCAGAGGTTATGCCGAGGAGAGGGGCGGTTGCACCGGAGTGAGGACTGTGGAGGACACGCCAGGTGCAGACGCGGGAGCCGCACTCGCCAGCAGGGTCTGCGCTCAGCGACCGCGGCAGCCAGTGACGGCAGGCTGAGCAGACCGGGTCCCAGGCCACCAGCCCAGCGGCTCCCCAGAGCTCCAGGCTGACGGGCCTAAGAGGCGGAGTCGAGAGCGGGCACGTAGCCAGGGGGCGGAGCCAGGGCGGGTCCGGGAGGCGGGGCGTATTCCGGGGCGGAGCCAGAGGGGAGCGAGGCACCATCTGGGCGGGGCCGGGCAAGTCGGGCC